CTTTGACATGTGCCTGCTCAGGGGTTTGCAGGAGCCATCTCCCAAATGCCAACACATCTCTCAGCAGCTGCATGCCAAGCAGGGTGGGATGTCCAGGCTTCTCTCCAGCACTTATGGATAATTTTCATTTTCCTACCAAGAACACATCTGCCCAGGTTAGCCCTAAGGAGGAGAAATGCTGATTCCAACTCATGGAATCATAGAATACCATGGTTGGAAAAGACCTCCAAGGTCTTTGGAGGTCCAGCTGTCCATGGCATGCTGCAAAACTCTGTGGGAACTTGAAAGCTTCTGTGCCGTAGTTTGGCATTTCTCTGGTATAATCATTTGTCTTCTAAACCCCTCAACAGCAATGTCCCACATTCCTCATTTACTGAGCAGGGGCTACAGCTTGATATTACAGCTAATTTGAGCTAGGAGTTGATGAGGGCATCGCTAACAAATGTGTATGTGAACACAAAGGAATATGTTGTTATTAAGCAAGTAAACACGTAGTATGTATGTAATTCTATGCATACATATGTTTGTATGGGTGTCATTTGCCCCATTTAGGACCAGAGACCTCCAAGAAGTCCTTTCTGCTCAAAATGATCCCATCCCTGCTCAAGGCAGGGCTGACATCACAGCCAGGCCAGGTTGCTCATGGCTCATCCAGGCATATTTTGAACATCTCCGTGGTCACAGCCTCCACAGCCCAAAGTGAATCCCTGTAACTGGGTGGCCTGACACCTAGGATACTCAGAGCATTTGTGGTTTTCAGGGTATTCTTCAGCTCCTGTGTCATCCATTCTGCTCAGACCCTAACTGTAATCCTTTCTACTACTCTGCTCAGTGCACCCTTCACCTCCTGGTTCCTCAGGCTGTAGATGAGCGGGTTCAGCATCGGAATCACCACTGTATAAAAGACAGAGACCACCTTGTCCGTGTTGAGGGAATAACTGGAGCTGGGCCGCAAATACATGAATATTGTTGTTCCGTACAACAGGGTGACAGCTGTCAGGTGGGATGCACAGGTGGAGAGGGCTTTTTGCCTGCCTTCAGCTGAACGGATCCTCAGGATGGCACAGGAGATGAAGATGTAGGAGACCAGGATGATGACGACAGTGCTGAGTTCAATGATTCCAGCTAGGGAGAAGAGGATCATCTCGTTGATGTAGGTGCTGGCACAGGAGAGGGCCAGGAGGGGAGGAACATCACAGAAGAAGTGGTTTATGATGTTGGAGCCACAGAAGGGCAGTCTCACAATGAAGGCCATCTGTATAATGGCATTGAGGATGCCCCCGACGTAGGACCCTACCACTAACTGCATGCACTGCCTGCGAGTCATAATGGTTGAGTAGAGCAATGGGTTACAGATGGCAACGTACCGGTCATAAGCCATGACAGCCAGCAGGAAGCACTCAGCGGTCACAAACACAATGTAGAAGAAAGTTTGGCCTGTACAGCCAGTGAAGGAAATAGTCCTCCTCTCTGATAGGAAGTTCACCAGGGTCCTGGGGGTAGTCACAGACGAAAAGCAGATGTCGACCACCGAGAGGCTGCTGAGGAAGAAGTACATGGAAGTGTGGAGCCTGGGGTCAGCTCGGATGAGGACAATTATCCCCACATTGCCCAAAAGGGTGATGACGTAGATGAGCAGAAACACCACAAAGAGGGCCGCCTTCATCTTGGGATGATCACTAAAGCCCTCAAGAATGAACTCTGCTGCCAAGGATCGATTCTCTTCTGCCATTCAGAGCCTCCTCTCTGCCAACAGGGAGAGTACAAAGACATAGGACAATGGAAATTATGCTTTTTATTATGATTTTTTTAAGCTGAAATCAGATAACTTGATGATTCACACTATATGCAGCTGAGGTACCCAGATGAATCATTTCTAGGGAGCTAGGAGAGGCTGGGTTGCACATTAGCTACAAAAAGTTAGCCAGCTGAGCTGGGCTCCACTTTCTTCTCCAAGCCAAGGGGAGAGGAAGCCTCTTCTAAAGTGAAGGCATCTTAGGTTTCCTAAACCCATCCCAGCCTGCAGTGAGGCACTACTGAAGGCATCTCACTTCTCTAACTGTAGAGTCTTAGGGAAGGTCTGTTTCTTTCTCAGGATCTTATTTTGAAACCTCCAAGTTGATGAGATCACGGGATAGAGCAGCAGACAACAGACTCTGTCCTTGACTTCTTGTGATTATGACTCTCTGAGTTTGTTTCCCTTCCTTCCCACCTCAAACAGACTAGAAAGCACACAGAACAGGAAGGTCTGGAATTCAGGAGGAGATTCAGGCTTCAACTGTAGTAGTTTGGAGTAAAGGTAAAAATACAGTAACTTTCCTTCCTTAGTATTAGACAAGACACTGTGGAAGAGTGAGTCTCTGGGAGGGACAAGGGGTTGTATCATGATCCTGAAACTCACTCAAGAAATGAGTTTAGCATTACAGCCTTGGAAGCCTTGCGAAGATGAAGTCAGAGAGATCATGAGAGCAATTTGGATTTAAAGTTGTTAGTTTGAACTAAGGTAGGCATCAAACATTTCCCCAGAATAACTTAGAGAATACAAAATTAAGTGTTAAACATAAAATTATGACTTGATTGCCTCGTGACACTGTGAGCAAATGCATTACCCTGGGTGTTAAGCTCACATGTGTAAAGAGTTTATGTGAATTTAACAAATGATCAATGAGTGAATGCCTGTGTCCCAGCTCATCTCTTCCCATTAACCACTACCACACAGACGGCATTCATCACATCTCACGTTTGCAGGAAGAGGCTGGGGGATGAAACCTGGTTTGCAGATGTAATTGAAGCGTTGAGACAGAGAGCTGTGTGTGTTTATGAATACGAGCCAGCTGTGGTGTAGTGACTGCAGCCAGGTAGAACTGGGGTCCACCATGTCCTGGCACACAGGGTAACAACCAGTGCCTTTCCCAGTGTGCTCAGGCAGCAGCATCTGGCTGAATTGCTCCTCATTTCCAGGTGAGAACAAGGTATGGCTTGCAGATTTGGCAGAAGGGAGGGAAAAAATGTGGGGAAAAACTGGGGGAAAAAATAGAGCCACTGTAAAAATTCACTGCTTTAATTTGCAGCCTATGGAGAAAAGCCTTCACAGAGGAAGCTTTGTGGCACAGCAAAGCATCCTGGTGATGAGGACACTCACAGAACTTCACCCATCTCATTTTCAGAGGGCAAAGCTCATCTCCCTCCAGCAGCTCCCCGCTGCTCACCTTGGCTGAGGAGGAGACCATGGAGCTGTGCTGAGCCAGCCTCATGTATTTCCAGTTGTCCAAATTTAGGCTTCTATTCAAGCTATTCACCTTGGCGAGCAGGGAAAATATAGGTTTCTGTTCCTGATAACATGAAGGTTTAGAATAAATTTACAGGAGTGAAGGTGAGGATCAGTCTTACCCCGCCAGGTGGATGCTGGGATCAGAGCAGTCATTGCAGAATCCTTCCCCGCCAGCTGAATGCATACGCACTGTATTTCAGGCTTAGTGTGTGAGTTAACCTCCTCTTGAGAGTGTTCTCCTCTCTTCTTTTCCCAGACTCCTTCAAGGTACCACAAGTGCCGTGATTTCTGATCCACGTATGCTTTTGAGTTCGAAATACTGATGTGCACCTCAGCAGAAATATTTCACCTTTAACCAACACAGAGGAACGAGCCATTAGCTGCTGTAAGCAGCAGCCTCCCCAAAGGTAGTGTTGCTGCAGTGATTTATACCAAGGGATGGTCCCAGCGGAGCACACCCTTGCCATTCAGCTCACACCTCCCTGTGGATTGAGGCCACTCCTTTGACTGGTTGCAAAGCCTTTTCCATTTGGGATGTACGAACAGGCTCAGGAAACTTGCACAGTAAATTTGGGGTGTCGCAATTTGAAGCCATCCTCCCCGCTCCCAGGTAAAGAAGATCATATCTCCCAAGCTTCCAAGAGCCTCGTGCACATTTCCATTGAGTGGCATTCTTTGACTGCAGCTACTTGCTGCCTTTACACAGATTTCTGCCGGTCCTTGTGGTCACCAAGGGATGTTTGTCCTTGCCTTGGCCACAGTTTGGCTTCCTAAGAGAAGTGAGCCTTGCTTGTGTACTGCTGGTTCCTTAATAAGAATCAGTGAGTCATAACAGCCCGAACTGCTAACAGAGATTTAGTTATGCACACAGCATGATGCAAAATCTTTTGCTAATTCCTAGTCTACAGCAACATTATTGTCACAGATGTCAACAACCCACAACAATGCTTGGCAGCCTCACGAGACAGAACAGGTAGAGGTCCTGGTGAGTGCAAGATATTCTTCACCATCCACTCTGAAAATCAAACAGGAGATGGAAAGGGGCATTCAAAGGGCAAATTACTGCAGGCATCTCTTTTAAAGAGTTCCCAGTTCTTAACATGTCCTTTGCTATACAATTTTTTTTTTCCTTTTAGAAATAAGAGTCCATGCTTTAAAACAGAATGCATGGAGACAGCAACCATATAACTAGGAGTTCATGTCTGAATCCCTGACTTCCATAGGTGTGATTTCATCTGTCAGCTGAGAAAATTATTATGCAAACTGATGAGACAACTGCCTCTGTACTTTTCACAGCCAGCAGGGATGAAGGTTGTGGTTCCATATACGTGTGTGTCCAGGACTATTTCAGACCCCTGTGATTTTTCCAGTCTGACTGCTCCAACCTGAAGAAGCCATTAGCTACAATTCAAAGGAGATCATTACAATTAAATTGGTGGCTTTGTCCCATTGAAAGGACCATGAAGGCTTGTAAAGCTCATTGCATTCCTAGCTACAGTAGACGTTCCTGGGCATTTTCTCAGCACATCAGCCTCATACCGAGTGTGTCAGGGAACACCTGCCCTGACTTCTCCAGTTGTTTTCAGCTGCTGTGAAAGCTTTTTTCAGCACCTGAATTTCATAGGTTCCATGTCAAGTCTGGAATAGAACTTATTTGACATCTAATTGACCATGCTAATAAGCAATATCCAAGCAGTTAGAGGTCGAATATGAGGTCAAAATAAAGGTCAAAAAGCAAGTTTTCCCTCTGACATCATTCTGGACTTCACCACTGTTTTCATCTATCTTCAGTTTTCACCAGATTAAGGAAAGGAAAGCCTGTATTCATTAACATTTATTCTGACAATGATCCTACCCCATGCTAAAGATTTCCTCTGTACAAGTATGTTTGTCCCAGTGTACCTCTTCACACTTGGCAAGGATGTTTTCATATAGTGGCAAGTTTTGCTGCTGTCACTTAGTGCTGTTTTCTTTTGACATTGCCCCTAACCTGATCTCTATAATTCATAGTCATCGACTTAAAAAACCATTTTTCCACCATCCAGCTTGCTGTATAAATCAAAACTTCAGAGAAGCAAATTTATTCTTAATCTTTATTCTTTATTTCCTTTTCTTTCTTGATTCCACATGGTGTTGGATGTCCACACATGGATGTCCCTCCCAGAGGCTATTTCTTGTCTTCACTGTTTATTACTTTCCAGCTTAGACAGTTGGGATGAGCTGCCAACAGCCCCACTGTGCAGACCATCCTGGGTCAATCTCTATTGCTTTTTCAATGCTTCCCTTAGTGATTTTGAGAGAGACAGAGATGAGGAGCTGTTAATTCCTTAGCCCTTGGGATGGGCTGCCTTCTGGGAGCACGTGCGTACCAAGCTCAGCAAGTGATGTTATTGAGAAACAGCCTCTCTCAGAGGCAGCATCTCAACACCTCGTAATCATGGGAACACTCCAGCTGGAAAGATTCACCAAAGTTCTCCAACTCAGCCGTAGGGAACCAGCACTGGTGTACGTGTAAAACTCTGTATTTGTGCGCAGTTTGTGCGATGAACCATTATAGCTATCGACCCAACTGGAGCATCCACACTGCAAATGAATCTAACGTGGGCTATGAAGATCGACACCTTTGTTAATTTGGAAAAGCAGGGCTGCTACTTTCCTCTTTACACCTTTCTGTCTGTGTTATTACTTCAGTTTATGTATTAACACTACATCAATTTGAACTTGCCTAGGCATGACTATCTGTCATGACATTTAGAGTACTTACCCTGAAACTTTATATGGAAATGTTACTACCATATTGAAGCTTTGGAAAATATGCTTGTGGTGGCAAAGAAGAAAACAATTCAGCCTTGAAAATCATAGGGAACATTCAACCAAATTCAGAAATAAGATGTTGCCAACGTCCTGAAGACAACGGTTATAGCATCAAATGAGTAATTGGAGGACATACTATGGGACAAAGTTCTTCAAAGGAGGAATGCATTCCTAGGCTGAGCACCGTGGCAAAACAAAATCCTTCCTGCATTTAGGCAACGGGTTTTCATGCTCATGTTGTTTTACATCTTCTTTATGGGCTCCTTCAGCTGCACCAAAGTAGGTTTTCTTCACAGTAAGAGGAAGCAGTGACTTACACAGATTCTTTCAGTTTGGCAATGATAGTAAGATGAACCTATTTATGCAAGTATTAAACAAAGTACTGCCTTCTTTCCTTATAAAGAAAAGCAACATTTCCAGTTGTCAGCAGAATAGGACTGTAAGTAACAAAGCAGCCTTTGGAAGCAGCACATTTTAAAATTTATTCAGTTTTTGAGAAAGTGTCTTATTTTAATGGTGGTGTATTTAAGATGCCTTGATGTACTGGAGCTCCTAAAGATGCGCATCATGAATCCACCAACATGAATCTGCCCACTGTAAGTAACATATAATAATTTGATAAATGCAATTTTAAGACCAGAATAATA